TACATACATACATACATACATACATACATACATACATACATACATACATACATACATACATACATACATACATACATACATACATACATACATACATACATACATACATACATACATAAAAAGTCAAGGTGGCAACAGGCAACCAGATTTAGATAGTCTTCAGACCTGAGATTATCAGCCATATCTCACTCTTAGGTATTGAAGGCATATAAACACAGAAATGCTCCCTGTATGTTCAGTTCAGTGCTTAAACATTAAGCGGAAGTTAAGTAGTAGTGCAATAAAAATGGGCAACACTGTGAAAGGTTATGTTCCACTGCCCACCCAATATTTCATATTTCTCGAGCCTGCACTGGTGTCTGGGATAAGGACAAATGCACCATTCCCCCCCCCACAAAACTCCAAACGTATTTATTATTTTATTATACTCAGAGAGACACTGTATTGCACTGCCAAGCAGTGTGTATGCAAACACACTCCTGCTCGGTCCCCTCTTTCCCTTTGGTAAAGATTTCTGTGCATATGCTTGCAAGCCCATCTTGAAAACCCACAACTAGAGCATAAATGAAGAGGATCATAGCAAAGAGGTCGCAATTGGGGGGTGAGGGAGAGCATCAGAAAGTGTTGGTTGAAGGATTCAGCTGCTACATGGGGAATACAGTGAAAGACTGTCATCGAAGAGGGTTTTTTTATATCGGTCTGTGCCCTCAGGTAGGAAAAACAATTCCCTCCCACTTGGAGAGCTTTCTGTAAAGGTGTCATGATGTGTATATAGAATTGGACAGATCAATTTCATTAATACCAAATTGAGCAATTTTGAGAAGTCACTCCAACTCTGCTGGGAAGTACTGTCCACAGAAGTAACCTTTCCAAGTTCTGAGAGAAGCTTCAGAATGAAGCCTTTTATTTACTTATTTATTTAAAATATTTTCATCCCACTTTTCTCCTTAAAAGGGCCTAAGTTTCTTTCATAATTAAAATATAATATTAAAAAGTTATATATAAAAGAATCAAACAAATATCACACTCAAACAATAAACAACATCAACCACAGAAACACATTCAAATGCAACAAGGAACAACAATCCCTTTTTAAAAAAAAAAAAAAATCCTACTCAAGCAGCCAGTCACTGAGGGGAAAGCCTGCCTGAAGAGAAAGGTCTTTGCCTGCCTGCCGAAGGATAACAAAGACTGAACCAGCCTAGCTTCCCGAGGGAGGGCATTCCAGAGCCTGGGAGCAGCAACCGAGAAGGGCCTCCCCTGCACACTGACTAAACATGCCTGTGAGGGCAGGATCATAAAAGGAGATGCAGTCCTTGAGATAGCTTGGACCCATACTGTTTAGGACTTTACAGGCTAAAACCAGCACTTTGAACTGTGTCTGGAAATGGGCCATTAGCCAGTGCAGCTGTTGTAACAGGGGTTACGGGCTCCCTGTAACCAGCCCCAATCTGGTTGCGATGTTTTGGACCCATTGAAGTTTCCAAACACTTTCAAAAGGCAGCCCCACGTAGAGTGCATTATAGTAATCCAGCCAGGGTGTCACTAAGGTATGTCTCCCTTTGGCTAGATCAGACCTCTCCAGGAATGGGAAACAGTTGGTGTGCTAGTTTTAACTGTGCAAATGCACTCCTGGCCACTGCTGAAACTGAGGCATCTTGGCTCAGAGATTAATCCAGGAGCACACCCAAGCTGTGTACCTGTGGTTTTAAAGGCTGTATCCCTATTCCTTGCTCTGCCTTTCAAATGACCAGTAGCACCTCTAATTTGTCTGAATTAAGTTTCAGTTTATTCACTCTCATCCAGTCCATTGCTGACACCATATACTGATTTAGAGCTAAAAGAGTTTTCTTCAGTTTAGATGGAAACGAGAGTTGGGAGTCATCCACATACTGGTGATGCTGAACCCCAAAACTCTGGACAACTTCTCCCAGTGGTTTCATGTAGATGTTAAATAGCATAGAGGGCAAAACAGAACCATCAGAGACCCAGCAGGCCAATGGTCAGGGAGTCAAATAGGGGTCCTCCAGTAATACTCTTTGAGTTCTCCCCACCTGGAAGCAGAACTAGAGCAAAGAAAGCACATCCATTCTATGCTATTAACAAGGTAAACTTTTCAGTTTCATTGTACAGCTTAAGACTGAAAGGCATGATCTATTGATTTTACCTTTGAAATGATAAACCCATGCTGATATTGAAATAAAATCTTAAGAGCTTCATTGTCTTCTGGAGAACTCATTCTTCTCGACTGCTCTCTCGGAGGCACTGAATGTTATCTGTTGGGCCAATTGTATTGCTCAAGGTTCCCAGTGGTACAAAAAAGACCATCCTTTATAAGGTGCTGCCGTTGCTCCATAGCTCGATTGCAAAACACAAAGACATTCAAAAAATGTGCTGTTGGATGTTGAAGTTAGTGGATCTGACTTAAAAAGATAAAGAGAGGTGCGGAGATTTCATTTCTAAATGGAAATACTTGTAGAAAAAAAGGGGGGAAGCAATGGTCCAACATGATAGCTTCAGGGAAATGTCCTATCAAAATACAGAAGGAACCATGTATACATCTCAAGATGTTTGAGGTGATGTTTATATGTGTTAAAAACCTAAAGCCTGTTGATTTGGAATGGGCATGGACCACCAAAATGACGGTTCATCTTGGATCGTGGTTTTGAACTGAGCAGTGGTACAGGCAAGGACCAGCCAATAATATTGAATATATCATGGCTGACCATACTGCCGGCTGAAGTTCAGCCTATTATTTATACAGTGGTAGGTGGTCTCCTTCTTTATCAGGGATAGAAAGATCCATTAAAAATTATCTTGGGGCATATTTTACATGATGGAAATGACTCAGGAGATGGATCAGAGTTTTTGAATTTGACTGAGGGGAAAGAACATCCTGAACGTCATGCCCCAACACCACTGAAATACCACCCAAGGACACACACGCCCATCTTGACAAGATCCCATGATCCTATGGGGAAAAGTCAACTGGAATTGCTCCTGGAGAATTCCTCAGTGGTAGAGGGGGGAAAGCCATGTTAGGAGCAAAAAAGGTCGGACAGATTCCACAATTACAACATTGATACATAATTTGCACAGGAAGCCACATTATACCAAGCTTGACCATGGACCCATCTAGCTCAGTATTTATCGACACTGAGCAACAACAGAAAACAAATAATACCACTGTGGTGCTTTTGATGCAGCTGGAGTGCCGTCTTTACAAAAGGAAAGAAACTATCTCAGCTGTTGAGTAGGAAGCCTGTAAAATGGAAATGCAAGGTAGGGTAGAAGACATGTTCACTGATGCAAATTTGCTGCAATGTTATGGTATATCACACTGTGTGGCATCTTTAGTTTCTGCTGTGACATACAGGAGACTTGTTTTTTTTAAATCAAATCTGGTTGATTCATAGATCACTATTAAAATTGCAATAAGAGAGATCTATGCTGTATCAGACTGAAATCAGTCGAATCCAAAATTTTGCTCCCAACGGTTGCCGATCAAATCTAGTAATGTGAAAGATGGAAAACATTCTTTTTCTGTCAGTTTTGTCCAAAAATGCATAAGAATTATTTCACATTGGAATGGATGAATCATGAGAAGTGTTGGTTTCTCATACTCTGGAGGGGTGTAAATAGAGGCAGGGTATCCATCTGTTTGGGAGGCTACACTTACATCTTGCACTGGGCATGGAGATGAACCTGTAAGGTCCCTTTCAGCTGTGAGATTCCATGATTCTGCAATTTCTAAATGCAATCCTATTTCAAGAGCTCTCCACCACGAGTGAAATTCAAATGCCCACTATTCTAAGTTCATGTTGGATACTTAATAACTTCTGGTTTTTGGATGGTAAGATGGTAACTTGTCTTATTATAAGTAAGGATGCAGCCACGATAAATTTAGCATACAAATCTAAAAGATGTTCCTTTAATGTCATGGTGATTTCTTGTTTATTTACAATTATATACCACTTTCCTATAAGGGAACTCAAGGTTTTTTACAGCAGAATGAAATGACAAAAAAAATGTTCAATTTATTGGATGGGATTTAGTGCCTTTGTGTTCATAGGATTGCAGACTTAGAGTCAGAGTATAGGTGGTGTAGGAGCTCTATTATGAGGGGTTTCAGAATAGTTTATAATCTGCAATTCACCACAGCTATGAGACAGTAAACTATGGCAAGGTTCACCTTGCCAACAAAAGTCCGAATACTCAAAGCTATGGTTTTCCCTGTAGTGATGTACGGAAGTGAGAGCTGGACCATAAAGAAAGCTGACTGCTGAAGAATTTTTGCTTTTGAATTGTGGTGCTGGTGGAGACTCTTGAGAGTCCCCTGGACTGCAAGGAGAACAAACCTATCCTTCTAAAGGAAATCAAGCCTGAGTGCTCACTGGAAGGACAGATCCTGAAGCTGAGGCTCCAATACTTTGGCCATCTCATGAGAAGAGAAGAATCCTTGGAAAAGACCTTGATGTTAGGAAAGTGTGAAGGCAAGAGGAGAAGGGGACGACAGAGGATGAGATGGTTGGACAGTGGTGTCACCAAAGCTACCAACATGAATTTAACCCAACTCTGGGAGGCAGTGGAAGACAGGAGGGCCTGTCATGCTCTGGTCCATGGGGTCACGAGGAGTTGGACACGACTAAATGACTAAACAACAAATGAGACATTCACTTGTACCACTTTTATACCCATACAATAAATTGGAGGGTTTTTTTTTTTTTAAAAAAAAGGTCTGGTAAGTGGGCCTAAGATTTGCAGCCTAAGGTTGGAATCCTAAACATGGTCTTTCTAAGAGTATGTTCCACTGAAATCAATGGAGCTCATATATAAGACCATAGACTGCAAGGTCATATCTTAGATTCCCATGATGCAGGGAACATTGAATTCAGTTCAAGAAATAGCAATTGTATTAGTAGGACTCCAACTGGTAGTTATTAAGGAATGTGTATAACGTCCTGGGAATATTTTGAAATTATGCAAAACTACAATGCTATATTTTATCCATGTGAATGACCCAAATAATTGTTCATGTATGCATCTCTGTGTAAGCTTGTTCAGTTAATCTTCCAAGATTCAGGAACCAGGAGGCTGGACACAAGAAGTTCAAGGTATGTTCTTGTTTCGTTTAAAAGGTTTAGAGGCCACTTGAAATGTTTACAGTCAGTTGCTTGTTTGCACATTGAACAGCTCATTTCAGCACAACCACACAACAAACACTCTTAACATGAAGTTAGAATTTTATCTGAAACCTTGGCAGCAACCTTTGTGAAAAATGAGCTATGTTGACAGGGATGTCTTCTAGTGCTGTTAGATGTCTCTAGTTCATCTTTGTCTCTTTTGCTTAATCTGTGACTTTCTTCATTTATTTCCCTCCTTAAACCCTTTCTGTTCCACACAGATTAAATGAGAATCAATCTCATTGTTAGAGAAGGTCAGCTTTTCTCTAATCCCAGAAAAGGTAACCCCACTAAAATCCCACAATTAGTCAAAGGTACACATTCAGAGAAAAGGAAGAGTCTGGGAGGCATATTTCACAACCTCCACTCCTGACTTAATACTTCAGCTGTTCTCCTACACACTTTCCACAGTTCTAAATCTATTCCTCAAAATGGCAAATGTTTTCTTTTTTCCTGAGACACTGTGTCAGCTTTCTGCCCAATATCAAAGCAACCTAAAAAAAGGGAACTGGCTGGGAGTTGTTGTGGGTTTTTCAGGCTCTTTGGACATGTTCTGAAGATTGTTCTTCCTGACATTTCGCCAGACCACGGCCAAAGAGCCCGAAAAACCCACAACAACCATCAGATCCCGGCCGTGAAAGCCTTCAAGAATAAACTGGCTGGGAGCTTTTGGTCTGATAGCTACATTGACCCAAATCAACAAGCAATTTAAATTCTCCATTCACTTTCCTCATATATCTTAATTAGAAGTTAATTTAGGTAGAGAAAAGAGAGTTACCATAAAATATTGACGGGAACCCACTCCCCACCACAACAGGGCCATTATTCCTGCATAAATTATTCCATCTACTGTCCTTACCCATGCAAATTACAGTACTGGTAAGAGATACACGTTGAGAGAATGCACTACCTGCAACGCTAGCAGGATAGTGTATGGCGTAAGATGCTCCTGCAACAAATTATGCACAGGAAAAACATCCGAGGCTCTCAAAGTGCAAATAGGAGAACACCTAAGCAATATTAGGAGCACAAGAATAGGAACCCCTTTGGTTAGATATTATATAGAAAATAACCATTAGAGATGGCCATGAACCTAAAAATGAACCAGGAAGTTTCTTTAAAATTGCTGCTTCATTGGTTTGGGTCGGTTCAGGGTTGTCAAACCTGGCAAACCCAAACCAAAATGAACCATGAACTTTTAAAGCAATTTCAGTGAATTTCCTGGTTTGTTCCCCAACCCACTGTGCTGCCCCTATTGCCTCTCTACCTGGTCTGCTGGGGCTTCCTTTTATTCTACTGCTGCCGCCATCTTGAGAGTCAGCCTCCCTGCTTCCCTTCCAGAGGAAGAGGAGGGGGTGGCGGTACCAGGTAGGGAGGTGGGAAGGGGGCAGGGTTTAGTTTTCTTTTTAAAAGGCACATACTTTTTAAAGCCACAAACCACCATGAACCACAAATTTTATGGTTTGAGCCCATCTCTAATAACTCTTTTAAGTGACTTGTAGTTTGGGGCATTAGATATACTGTAGTCTACCTACATAGGGAAAGGCCTTACTGAAAAGAGAAAAGAGAAATAGATTGGCCATTAAGATTAAATACACTGGTTCCAAAGGGAATGCATGGTTTATTATTAGTAGTATTTTAGTAAATCACAATGCAGTATAGTGAAGCAGAGGTGACACATTCCAGTTTCTTCTGGAACAGAGCAGCACTGGAATTTATTGTGGTGAGGAAGTTTCCCCATAGTATTAGAAGCATGTTCTGTATTTTCTTTTATCTGTGTTTACTTTATTTTATTCCACTCCTGTGGTTTCCACTTCTTGGTATTTGGGAAGAACACACTTTGCACACACATACACTGGGATAGCTTATTGATTTGTTGAGATTAAAATGACCAGTCATTAAAATAATGGTTCAGTGTAATTGAAGAAGACACCAATATTAATCACACAACAATACACTCACAATATGTACTCTAAAGGTATCAACTAGCCTTAAAGTGTTCCTCACAAATCTCCACAACCAATTTATAAAATCCCTTTGCTTTTGTTAGGACCAGATTACATACTTCACTTTTTTTACAGTTTCTTCAAGTTATTAGGAATGTGTTCTTCGAAGAATACAATCAAGTTTGGGTCCATATCTAGCCCCCATAAATGCAACGGCGCTGATATGTGTCTTCACCTTACAGCCCTACACAAAATGCTTCAGACAGAGCACAGATAAATTCTCTGCATACTTCCTTACCACAGAATTTGAATTCTTCTGCAGCTTTCAGTGTTCCCAAATGAAGCTTCAACTGAAACAGGTCAAAAAGAGTCAGCTAAGTGTCAGCAAGCCTGTGAGCCCTGGAGAGCAACGAGTCCAAAGCAGAGAGCTTACTATGGCTGCAACTACACTTCAGGAAGGACTGAACTTGCTTCACAGCGACTTTGGTCCTTTCACATGACACAAGACCTGGAGTGGCTTTTAAAAAGATGACAGGCCTGCTTTTTACACTGCACCACACCTTCTGCCTTGGTCAGCTGCTGATGGTGCCAGGATCAGAGCACATCCTATGGCAAAACTAGAGCCGAAGGAATTGCCCCCGAGGCAAGAACAGGGTTGCTGCCTGGCCAGTGCTATGGGGGCTTCCTGGTCACCTCAGCACTAGCCAGCAGATAATACCATTTTTTTTTTGCCAGGGTTGAGGGCAGCCCTGGCGGCACCTTTTGCTCTGCATGGCAATCGGGCAGGGCTGCCTAACTCTCAGCCCTGTTAGGAGCCTCAGGAAGCCTCCTGGGTCTGGCCTACCTGCAGGCCAGGAATTGCCCCATGTGCTTTCTGTAAAGCCTGTTTCCAGATAACCCATAAAAACAACTTACTGCAGGTTATCTAAAATATGTCATTCTTGTTTGTATGGGGTAGAGAGGATTGCACAAGACAGCCTTGTAGCCATTCGGAGTTCAGAATCATGTGGAGAGGCTCCATGTATACAGGAATGTCTCAGTATCAGATTTGCAGCCTTCAGATAAGGAAAACAATGGTTGTGCAATGAGTGGGGGTAGCACCTTCCCCCTCATATGTTTAGTTTACTTGTACATACAGTGACTGAAGGCACCTCAAGCCCTCTGGAATCAAGCAAAACCACTTTGAAGGAGAATGCTAGAGTACATGACATTTTTCCTCTTTGGAAATAAACTGATATCTAGAAAAATTCATTTGGCTACGGACACAAGTTTTATTATTTTAGCCTATTTTATGCACTAAACAAATCCCTCATATGTTTAGTTTACTTGTACATACAGTGACTGAAGGCACCTCAAGCCCTCTGGAATCAAGCAAAACCACTTTGAAGGAGAATGCTAGAGTACATGACATTTTTCCTCTTTGGAAATAAACTGATATCTAGAAAAATTCATTTGGCTACGGACACAAGTTTTATTATTTTAGCTTATTTTATGCACTGAACAAATGACACTACTGTTTTCTTCCAAGAATGATGCTGTAGCGGCTTCCTTTCTTGTGCTGAACCTCCTTGAAGCCGGCGGCAGTGTAGAGTGCCTTGTATTCAGATGGAGTCCGTTCTTTTCCCTCCGTGAGAACCAGCATCAGTATGGAGTGTAGGTGGGCTTCAAAAGGTCCACATCTGTCCTCATTGAGAAGCATTTCAATAACTAGCACTCCACCACCTGTTTCAAAATATACATTTCACTGATTTAATCCAGAGGAAACAGCATTACGTATTTCTACAGTATTCTGAAGAGGACGACTTCCTCCAGACACATTTCATTCCAGGTAGAACGTGCCATGATAGAGAAGGGAAGGCATAGGAACTCCTCTGTAAAGGTGTTGCCAAGAACCAGGCAGGTAAGGCCTGAATAAGGCTTCTCAACACCTATTTTCTAAAATACTGTGTCTGAAATGCCCATTCCCCTGCATTTTTTCCATGTTTGGCTTCTGTTATACATCATTTCACCTTAGAAAAGTGAAGATTGCATTATTATCAAAGAAGGTATTTCAGGGAAATGCATAATTTCAATACATGTGTTGCATGCAGAATTCCCCAGTTCAATACCAGATCCCTCCAGGGTGGGCCAAACTGTGGTTTGTGCCCATCTATAATTCCTACTCAGGAATAAACTCTCCATGCAAACAAGACCCCCAGTTTTACAGCTTTACTGCTTGCCAGTACAGCATAGATGTAGGCAGAACCCTTCCTCTTCAGACACATTGCATTCCAGATAGAATATTCCAAGAGGGAGAAGGGAAGGCATAGGAACTCCTCTGTAAATGTGTTGCCAAGAACCAGGCAAGTAAGGCCTGAATAGGGCTTCGGACTACCTATGTTCTCAAATACCATGTCTGAAATGCCCTTTCCCCTGGATTTCTTCCATGTTTGACTTCTATTATACCTCTGTTCAACTTACAAACATTAGAAAAACGTTAGAAAAACCAAGGAGGCCTTCAAGAGTCCCGTGCATGATTATCAAAGAAGGTGTTTCAGGGAGAAACATAACTTCAGTACATGCCTTGCATGCAAGGTTCCCAAGTTCAATACTGCATCCCTCCAGGAACATTGTAAGTCTATTCAGAAAACATGTGGTCCGAGTCTTAATTGTTCTATATCCTCTGCCGGATGGCAACAGTTCAAAAAAGTTGTAAGCAGGATGGGAAGAGTCTCGCAGGATGTTGTGTCACTTCCTCAGAAAGCGGGATGTGAAGCTGTCATCCAGGGTTGGTAGCTGGAGCCCGATGATATTCTGGGCAATTTTAATGGTTCTCTGTAAAGCTTTTTTGTCCGCTACAGAGCTACTCCCAAACCATGCCAGAATGCCATAAGTTAGGGCACTCTCAATGGTGCTACGATAGTAGGACAGAAGTAAATGCTGAGATAAATTTAACTTCCCGAGTATTCTCAGGAAATACAGCCTCTTCTGTGCCTTCTTCACTAGCATGTTGGCATTTATAGTCCATGAGAGGTCCTCTGAGATGCAAGTGACCAGAAATTTAAAACTACCAACCCTCTCCACTTCCTCGCCATTTATGTACAGTGGTATTTGTGCATTTCTATTCCTCCTAAAATCAATTATGAGTTCTTTAGGTTTTTGATATTAAGTGTAATATTATTTTCTTTACACCAGAGTATTAACCCTTGTACTTCCTTTCTGTAAGCAGACTCATTGTTCTTATTTATGAGCCCCACAACTGTTGTATTGTCTGCAAATTTAATTGTGTTGGTGTTATACAGTGGGGTGCAATCATGTGTGGACAAGGAATAAAGGAAGGGACTTAGCACACAGCCCTGGGGAGCTCCTGTACTTAGTACCAGGGTAGAAGAATGGTGAGATCCCATTCTTACTGACTGTGGCCTATCTGTAAGAAAGTCCTGCCAGTTACAAGGGATGAAATGGTCTGAGAAGGACCTTCATGCCTCTTATTTTGCTGAGTCGAGATACCTGAGGCTACTGTGAGCTAATAGAAAATCAGTTCACAGAGGCATCAAGGCAGAGCACAACGCTTTCAAGGCTATTTTAGTGCAGTGGAAATAAACATACCAGGCCTGCAGACTTGGTGCAGTTTGGTTAGCAACTGCAAACACTTTTCATCCTGCCAGTCATGCAGAGTCCGAGCCAAAATGTACAGGTCAGCTTCAGGAACCGGGTCTTTAAAAAAGTCCCCTGTAATAAAACAGGCACAGCACAGTTGAGTTAAGCATTTTGTTTTAGGGTCAACCATGCTGCTAATAACAGGAGTGGACACTTAACATGATTTATACATTTTCCCACTAAGTAGGGACATGCCTTAGCAATCAGGCTTGCAGATTAAGCCTGGGTTTGCCTTCCAGTGACAAATCAGAAAACAAACCATACTAAATGCAAGGTAGGAGAGAGAAATCGCATTATGGCTTTTCACCATTTCGATGAGCCATTCTGCAAAATGTTGTGCTGAACATATGGTCTGTTTTGCCCCTTCAAAGAAGAATAATTTGGTCTAGTTTTTGGAAATCATACATCACAACGAGGTAGGGGCCTGCTGTCATTCCGGCTGAGGCAAACATTACCTACAGTTTAAACTTAGATAAGATCTCAGAAGAAACCATATTTTACCTTCCTTGAACGTAATCCGCATTTTGTTTGAGGACATAGAATGCTTCTTTGCTCTTTCTACTACTTTATGAAGGTCAAAAACGGTTATCGTAGAATTTGGGTATAAGGAAATACATTCCTTAGCCAAGGCGCCACTACCCCCTTAAAGAAAGAACAGAATGTAAAAATTTTACAAGATTGTTACGATGTTGTGCATTTCAAGCTTTTTTCAAAACACCCCTTTGTATCCTGCTTCATTGTTTCTGAGAGAGTCTTAGAGTACTTGACAGTAAAGTAGTACCACAAATACACAGGGAGCAGAAAAACAAGGCTGAACTAGAGCAATACAAAGATGAACCTGGTGGAACAGAAAGAACAGAATTTAAAATTTTCACAAAACTTTGTAAAACATTTTACGATGCTGTGCTTTTCAAACTTCTTTCAATTCTGTAAAACTTCTGAATAGAAAATCATATTGATGGCTATCTAGCTATTTCTTGAACATGACAGGACAAAAACAGACATACCCCAATTCATTGGTTCTGAGGTATTCCTAGAGTAGTTTACAGCACAATACCCCAATGACATATCCATAATAGAAGGCAGCTGAGAATTTATGCAACTTACCTCCCAGATCATAAATGAGTGAGAAATGAGAAAGATTAAATGCAGACATCACTTCTCTACCATACAAACTCCAGGCATCATCCATGGCATCAGAGAATCTTTGCAACTTTTCCTCGGAACTAAGAATTCAAAAGCACAATGGCAGAAAATGTTCCTACAGTCTGATGTACACCTAATTCTTGAAATTTGCAGACCATAAATACTTAGGACAGGGAGGAAAAAGAAATCAACTGGATAGAAGAAGCATTTTGGACCTCTGGACAATGAAAATGTCTACATTTGCAGTGCAGGCAGCCAAAATATATGCAATTAAAGAATGGCCATAGAAACATGCTGTAGTTAATGAAGAAAATGCATACATTACATATTGTATAAGTAAGTGTTCACTCTAGGAAAAATGCACAGAAATGAATGTTAGCATCAGAAAAAAAAACATATCAAAATGTAACATAAAGCAAGAATGTGAAGAATGAAATGAAATCAGGACTGAGAAACTTTCAGCCATCATTAAGCCAGTGTTTAACTTCTACTAATCAGTCACAAAACAAAGCACAATACAATGGTGCCTTGCTTGACGACGTTAATTCGTTCCAGCGAAATCACTGTAGAGCGAAAACGTCGTCAAACGAAACTAAAAAACCCACTGAAACGCATTGAAAACCCCTCAATGCATTCCAATGGGCTGAAAACTCCCAGTCCAGTGAAGATCCTCCATAGGGGCGGCCATTTTCGGGTGCCTGTAAAGTGAAAAATGGCTCCTAAATACAGCGGGGAGCCATTTTGTACACCCGGCGGCCATTTTGTAAACCCAATGATCAGCTGTTTTGATCATCGTAAGACGAAAATCGGTTCCCGAAGCAGGGAACCGATCATCGCAAAGCGGGAAAACCCCATTCAAACCATCGTTTTGCGATCGCAAAAGGGATTGCAAAAACCTCACTGTCAAGTGGATTTGTCATTAAATGGGGTAATCGTAAAGCGGGGCAAGACTGTATATGCAATACAGGAAAGCAGCATCAGCTGCATATGTAAAAATATGAGAAAATGATCTCTCTATTGAAGCAAATGGCAATATTTGTGTAGATCTTTGAGCGCATGGTGATTTTTGGGTTATAGACAATTGCACTAGCAGAGCACAGAGACATAGAAAAGCTTAATTGTTATATGTTTCCATGTTTAGATCATTCTCTCAAAAATAATACAGAAACATCTTGGTCTATTTACCTGCAAGAAGCCTCAAAGAAACTTTTTTGTAACATGCCATGTGTTGTCTTAAACGGGCCCTTCCCTTCCCTGAAAGAGATTATCTGTATTAATAAAAAGAAAAAAAGAGACAGCCTATGTACCAAATACAGTATCACATTCTTCTCCAACCTCCAACACCTTAAGTGCAATTTAAATCGCTTTTCTTGAAAGTTAACCCTTCCAACATCAAGTCCTCAAGAGTGAAGCCAATTCGGTTGAAGACAGTAAGTGGCCACGCAGGCCTGTCAAAGCCTATTAGAAATCGCATACTGCAGAGCTATAGTTATCAAGTTGCCCTGCTTTCCTCCTACTTAAATAAGATGGAATAAAATTAAAAAGTTTTGAGGCCAAAATGTGTACGTCTCAGTTGAAGTGAACAGGTGAATATTGGTTTCAGCTAAACAGTGTATAATGAAATTTGATTTCAAAACTGTGGTTCAGTTACTGGTTCTAAAAAGTACAACCAGTTTTTCTTCATGCCAATAAACAGCAATGAACCCAAGTATAGATAAGTCTTGAGAATGCCCTAACATTCAGTCTTGACAGAGATGTTCCCCAGGGTATGTTTGGCCCCTGACATTTTTTATGCTTGCCATGAACAACTGGATGAGATTAGTATTCCAGTGTCCATTTCAAAATATAATATACACAACTGGCCAATCTTGTCTAACACAGCCTTGCAATAAAAAGCCTTTGGCCATGTTAGTCCATGCTGAAGCGGGTGGAAATTCCTCTAAAAGGGCCAAGACGCAAAGTATGGCCATAGCCACCATGGCTTTGTCTAGCTAATATGTTTGGTAATGAAGAAGAGAGAGGTTTGGGAGAGGTGCTCTCTCTGGATGGACAACTAGCAACTATGGTCTACAGCAAATGTGAATGTAGATAAGTCTTGAGGAGTCTCCAGTCAAGGGTCAACCAATTCATCAAGAATATGGAAGTGGTATTCATTGGAAACCAGTCAAACTGAATTGTCAATATTCAACTCTTGGCAATTCCAAGAACCAGCTCTTTCCATGGTTTTCAATCTTGCACAAAATTTTTGCTTGGTTTGGTGATTAGTTTCTGCATCTACACAGTTCATTTGCAAGTGTAAATGAGAAGGTCACTGTGGTGTAGTGGATCGCGTGTCAGTCAGATGCACATTTGGGGTTTAAATTCCCAGTGAGTCAAAAAAGCTCACTGGTGGGAGGCAATGGCAAACCCCCTGCTTGAACATCTCACATACCTTGAAAACCTTATTATGGACACTAGAGGTTGGAAGCAACCCGATGGCACATAACAAGAACGTGATTTGCACACTGTTTGGGATGTGTATATTGTGATGTATTCCATTCATATTAATGAGTATACCATAGCAACAACAGGAGTAGATGGCTAAGATCCATCTCACCTGAGAAGTAATGTTTAAAAACCCCTTACTCTTAAGAGGGACTCATGTAAGGGTATTGGGAGTTGCCGTTAACATCTGAATAAACCAAGTGCAGAAAAAATTATTTTAGATAAGGAGCGAATTTGTAAAAAAAAGTAGTATCTGTGTTGGTTAGCAACTAACTTGTGTTATAACACTTACACTTTATGTTTTATTTAATTTGCATATAATATAAATGCCCAGAAAATTAATTTAGCTAAATAAAAAAAATTACATTTAAGCAAAACCCCTGAATGATAAAATGGCAGCCACCAGAAAGATTTCCATGAAAAGCAGTGCCCTGAACAATCCATACCTGCAGACATTATGCCGTTCTGTTACTGGTTCATTTTATATTATTTTTCTTGATCCAAGAAAAGAAACTAAAAATCACCAGGAAATAGAGCCAAGCAGTTAGTGATTTTGATGCATTCTAGATGTTCTGCAAAAACTAAGCCAACTAAATGTGGCTATTCCATGCACAACATTGAGAACCCCCTGAGTCAATGGCCAAATACTTAACTTCCATGAAGTTTGTGGGTCTCCACAATTTGGGACTAGCAATTGAAATTCAGCCCTAGTGTGGAAACCTCCCTAGCTCACTCAGGGATATGGCTCTGGTCATACGACATGGTCCTGTGTAGCTTGTTCAGTGTTTGTATTAACCTGCTCACCTCACAATGTCAGTCAAGAACTGCAGACCTGGATAGATGACTTCAGACTGGAACTTCAAGTAATGATACTGAGACTTTGGGCTTGATTTAGCAAGACAGAGATTAGCAAGGTTTGTGTTACCATAAAGGCCTGGAAATAAAAGGAAGGGAGAGGAGATGCTATAAAACCTTGGGAAAAGTTTGATCATAGATGGTTGACAAGCTGAAAACACAATTTTCGCCAACACACAAGCAACTTAAATCATTTCCTCCTCCTAGCATGCTTACCTTCACTGTCCTTCCTCTCCATCCTCAGGAGCTTTAAGCTCACACAGGCCTCCAGCAGCCTCTCCGTTCCACTGGGGCTGGTGCCGAGGCGTTCGGCAATGGCCCCTGAGCTCAGGGGTTCTCCCGACTCCAAGAGCAGATCAAATACTCCCAGCTCACAGGCAGTGAACATAATCTTGGGGGGAAGTTGGAATAACATAGGGAGAAAAGTGACGGTTACTGCAATCTTTAAATATTTATTTATTTTAAAACTTGGGTGCCCATGCAGAAGTGAATAAATACAATGCTATAAATCCTGACGTTTCTGAAGGAAGAAGGAAGCCAGGGAACGTTTTGTCCATTACTGTGTTTGGGGTGTCCTGGTGGGCCTTATTCAAGACAAAGCAGTTCCAATCAGGCTCTTACTGAAATCTTCAATGGAACTGGTATATGAAGTTTCAGCTCTTGACAGGATAGGACTCCTGTGATTTTTTTAAAAAAGACCCGCCTGCCTATTGAATGATAGCAGTGCAAATTTAAGCCCACTCTACACAAACAGTAAAATGACAAAAGTAATGGGGGTTGAAATGCTTCAGAGCCTTCGCGAAGCAACATGAATTAGTTGTTGTTTAATTCTCAAATATTTTTATCCAGTGCTTTCAAAAGCACAACATTTTATGCGGTATTCCTATCTGCTTCATTCTGACTTCACTTGTGGTGAGAACAAGAACATTTGAACAAGAGCAAACATCTGCTAATATTTAATGAATTGTATCCAGAAAATAGTTGTTGTTTTTTAATTCCAGACACTCACAAACAAGTTGAAGCTTTAAAAGTCATTGCAGGCTTTAATATCTGTATGGGGATTGCCCGTGGCTCCTACCTTTGACATGAGAAAGCCATGCTGCTGCCGAAACAAGGTTCTAATAGTTTCTGTGTCTTCTGTAACACTCATTCTTCTTCGCTGCTCTCAAGATGCACTGGGATTATTGACAGCGGCGTCGGTATTTTGCTAGAGACAATGCCTTCCATTTGATGGTATCAGAAGGAGTACTTTGAACCCTAGGGTGTATTTATTTGATGCTTGGTTGCCTTGCGAATACCTAGTGCTTAAAATAAATTGTTAACTGTTTGGTGTCCAAGTCAGCGAATCTGATTTGCAAAAAAGTTTGACCGTTGTTCAAATAATTCTCTTCTAAAACTCATAAGTGATGCAAAAAAGGACAAAGACAAAAGCAACTTCATATTTTCAGGAAAATGTGCAATAGGGATCATGAACTACAGAGGAACGGAAAGGCAGAGAAGGTGAGCGTTCCTTTTTTGGACTGTGTTGTTGTTAAGTGCCACAAAGTCACCTCTGACTTAAAGAGACCCCATAAATGAACAATCTCCAAAATGTCCTGTCTTCAACTCAGCTCTTGTAAACTCAAACCTATGGCTTCTTTTTGGGAATAATATATCTTATATTTAATCTCCCTCTTTCCTGCTGTTTTCTGCCTTTCCCAGCATTTTTGTCTTTTCCAGAGACTCTTGTGATGTGCCCAAAATAGGACAGCCTCAAGTTTCTACTTTCAGTTGGACTTTCAGCTAGGGGGATTCTGGGAATTGTGCTCCAAAAAAAGGGAACATTTCTGAAGTCTGGAGAAAAAGAATTGCTATGTTCAAATGCCACATCCAAGCACATAAGTGAATCTAAGTGAGAAAAGGAACACGTGCCATTGAAACAAATTGATAGAATGATAAATGAGGAATTTCTCCACTACGAAAGAGAAACTGAGAATTTTTTGGAGGGAAGGAAGGAACCAGACTGCCTGCCTGTGGAAGGTGGCACGAGAGAAGCAGAACTGAAAGCATGTTTTGCTCAGTATACATCTTTTATCTTCCAGCCGGAGAGTTTGGGGGTAGCTTGGGTCATTCCCAGGGGCCAATTTTCTACCATGGAGTTCCTCCATGGGGTGCACAAACTGCCAACAAATGCTAACCCAAAGTGGAGAGAAAAGAATGAAAGGTATAGTGACTGAAAGTTCACTTCCAGTTTTAGTTTGTTAAATAATGCCAAAGGGGTGTGTGACCTCTCCAAAAGGCGAGTCATAGCTCAAAGGCACTTGGGGGTGGAAGCTGCAAAAACTGCCTTCAAAACCACATCCTACCTCTCTTTGCTCACCCCTGTTTTATAACCGGCATAGTGTCAAGGGAGCCACAGCTAGCAAAATTCTTAGGGATGCATTTTTAAAAAATATATATATAACAGAAAAACAAACAAAACATACATGCAGTTTACTATACTACAATATCTAATATATACCGTATTTTTCGCACCATAAGACGCACTTTTACCCCACAAAACAGGGGGGTGGAAAGTCTGTGCGTCTTATGGAGCGAAGAGAACAGATTATATTTTCCTGTTTTCTTCTCCTAAAAAATTCGTGCGTCTTATGGAAAGGTGCGTCTTATGGAGCGAAAAATACGGTAATCTTGACTACATAACTGTGTTACAGTACTAAAATCTTTAACCTATGTTATATTCTCTACTCATGTTTATACATGTTTAATCTATCTATCTATCTATCTATCTATCTATCTATCTATCTATCTATCTATCTATCTATCTATCTATCTATCTATCTATCTATCTATCTATCTATCTATCTATCTATCTATCTATCTA